GTACTAACTAGGAGTTATGATTATTTTTAAAAGTACTTACTACATCACATCCCATATACACCATGTTATATGCCCACTACCATGAGTTTAGGCAGAATAATGCCAACTATTCAGTGCTACTAAGGAGTATATTTTAACAGCAGTTAGCCCAGTAGCAGGGTTTGCACTAAAGCTGTGAAAGATGTATTGATGACTCCTAATTTAAACATTGTTTATATTGCCCCCACCCCAGCTAGTATTTGACATACCAGCACAATTGAAACCACAAGGCATGTGTCTGGAGACATTGGCACAGTTTGACATGATATAAAACAATATTTAAGATGACATCATTGTAGAGGATTCTGGGAATTCCAATGACCGCACTATGTAATTGTCTGTCTGTCCAGACTGTCACCAAGGGCTCTTGTTTAAGTGAAGAATGCTTTTCAGATGTCTGCAGGAACCAACCCTCATATGTAGTCTGTTGACAAGTGAATTTATGACTTGCAGTGATGTTCAGAGTATTATTTCATTGTACTTTGTCTTATAAATGTGGAACTACTTTGCACCATTACTGCCGCAGCTGAAAAAAACATCATTACTTAAAAGCAGAGCTGCTCTTGTATGGTCCGATTATTTTAAAATATGCCAAAGGCATTGGTTACAACGTTGTAACCTTTAGTAGCCAATATGCAAGTGAGGATGAATCAGAATTTATAGTTTGCAGAGATTTTGCTACAGTTTTTGATCTTGTTACATGCAGTGGGATTTAGATGTTATTAAAGCCAAATGAAAAAGTTTTAGTGTGTTTAGGAATGTTGTAATCAGAGCAACTATGTCAAATCTCCTGATCATGCTAAGGCCCCTTCCACAAGGAGCAGACTGCTCCAGGAGTCCACTTGTTCAGCTGGGTATCTGTCCACTGATCCCCGCTGAGCAGTCAGATGGCTGGTCCATGTCTGCTCCGCTTATGCAGAGCGGACACACACACAGCCCATTCTCTTCTATGGGCATTGGATGTAAATGGACCGACTGCCTGTTTACACCTGACTACTCCGATCCACTATACAGAATCATGTAAATGTAAATCGTTTATCCTTTGCAAAGTTTGAGGCTCCATGCTCACAGGCTTAAAAAAAAACACCAGTTGACAAGAAAAAAAAGCTAATTTTGAGCTGTTTTTTTTTTTTTTTTTTTGTATTAGCGTTTAGGAGTATTTAGCAGGATTTAGGAGTGTTTCGTTTTTTTCTGGCAGAAAAAACGCTCTAAAAAAAAATGCAGAACAAAAGTTTTTTTTTTTCTGTCTCTAAATGCTGAACTTAAAAAATGCCTCTAGACTACCTAATGTGCAAAACACTAAACTTCTCCAGGAGCAGCATTTTTTTAAGCCAGTGTGCATAGGGCCTCAGAGTGGGTATATTGAGGGTTGTAGCATTTTTTATGGGGTATATCAACACCTCCTAAATACAGCTGGAGGCATGAACTATGAGCCAAACTGTTTCTGAACAAATATACCTGTAAAAAACGAAATCAAAGTAATTACGAGAACCATCAGGGCCAGTTCACACAATACATGTTTCACTGTGCTTTTTGTGGAAATTTAAACATATTTTACAGGAACTGGAACTTTAGTCTGCAATGATGATCAGTTTGTCAACATCAATTCGAAAATTTGTTTTTATAGTGTTGTAGTAGACAGTATATCTACATAGTTTAGATACATTGCTGTTATAGGTCTGGGCGCAGTCTTATCAGGTTATAGCGTTCCCATCCTGTGAGCTTTCTCTGCTGCACACACCCATTCAAGGCCTAGCAACCCCAGTACAAAGGTAGAGTGGGTAATCTACTAGCTTTATTGTTGGGATTACTCTAAGATTACTTATTCTAAAGGGATCCTCAAAGATTTTCCACTTTTACTATTTGGATCTGATGGTTCTCAAAGTCTTTGAGTTTGGGATTGCTCCAGTTAATCTTCCAGTGATAAAATTGGGTTCGTTGGCTTCTGTAATCCACTGTGTCTGCGTGGGCATATCATGACATATTGTGCTGAAGTAGCACAATTTCATATGTAGCTTGCCAACATCTGTGCGACTTCATGCACAGATATCGATGCAAGTCGAACATGAAGTCGCCAAAATAGTACAGGAACCTTTTTCAAAATCAGTGCAAGTCGGAGTCGCACTGATTTGAATGGTTCCATAGGCACAAATATGGTGCGACTTGTCGTGTGATTTTTGAACTGTCAAATTGCATGACAAACAAAAGCATTGGTGTGAACAGGGGCTCAGATTGTTCAAGATATCAGTTTATCCTGGAAGCATGAGGTGTGCAGCAGGAGATAATGCCATGATATGGAGGATCTTGCCTGAATTTGTAGACAGATTTTATGTCAGCGTAATGGAAATTCTTGTTCCTAGTGACCCCTACATGTGGCACCAGACCCAAAAGTCAGTGGCTGCGTTTGTTAAAGACTATGGGGTTGATTTACTAAAACTGGAGAGTGTGAAATATGGTTCAGGTGTGCATGGTAGCCAATCAACTTATAACTTCAGCTTGTTCAATTAAAGCGGACCTCCACCTAAAAGGGGAAGTTCTGCTTTAAGTCTTTGTCCCCCTCTCCCCATTAAGGATTGGCACATTTGGGGAGCAGAGAGATCAGGTACCCAAATTTGACACTTACCCGCTCCCACTTCCCGCCTATGCGATCGGAAGTTGTCCTTCACCCCCTCCTTCCTCATAGTCTTCTGGGACATGTGACAGGTCCCAGAAGACTACGGGGCCATTCACAAAGCGCAGCGATTCTCGCGCATGCGAAGTGGGCACAGGCTGTGAAGCCGCAAGCTGTTACAGCTGGGTTCCCACACTGAAGATGCTGGGGAGAGAAGACGGTCAGTGAAATCAGCCGTGGTGAGGACACCGCTGGACCAAGGGACAGGTAAGTGTCTGTATTTTAAAAGTCAGCAGCTACAATTTTTGTAGCTGCTGATTTTATTTTTTTTTCAGGTGGAACTCCGCTTTAAGCTTTGGCAATAAAAATTAGCTGTATGGATTCTGTGCAGCGCTACACCAGATTTTGCACTCTCCAGTTTTAGTAAATCAACCCCAATTGCTCTTAGGTCTACGAAAAGAACAGTTGTCAGCAGCAATCAGCTAAAAGGTAAGACAAAGTTCTCCTTTCACTGAATTCATAAGCATAAGACCAATTCTGTACACAGTTTCCTGGTGAACAACCAAAAAATAACGTTTTGTATGACTTATTTCATTTAATTTCAGACCCCAGACACAAAGTAAAAATACACGTCTAGTAGAAACATTTCAACAATCGCATTGGTAAAAATTGTAAAAGTTGAGTCCTTGTGTTTTGATTACAGAAGAAAGGTCGGCAAGATTCTTATGGCTATCCTCTGATTAGACCACCCACATTTGTTGTTTTTGAGTTAATGTCCTGTTGTGATAGAATTAAAGTACAAACAAGACCAAATAAAACTTGAACAAACCATTGTCCTTCCATAAATTGCATTTGCATTTTGTGTTTTATTAAACATCATGTTTCCATGCTTGGAAGAAGAATATGTGCAGTATGCTGTCTGTACCAGCCAATCAAAAGCCAATGTTCAGAAAACAAAATTAGGATTGTGATTGCCTGCATGAAAACATGTTACTTTTTTATCTTTTTGATACATCTGGCCAAGTCATTATTATTGAGCTGCATAACCTTTGTATGCTGATTTACTGTATGTACTGGTGTTGACCAGGTATCTAGTAGGCCAGTATTTATCTAGTAGGTTGACTGGTACCTCCTGATCTGTGATCTCCTGGACTGTACACTACAGTATGTCAGGGAATGACACCATCTTGTCCATCAAGGTTGTAGTTACATATTCCATGACTTTATCATGGGTGTGTGTACAGCTGGCTTTGCTATGGAATTTTGTTTGTATCATCTTCCCAACTGCAGTCAGATCAGTGAACCTCTTTCCTTGTCAAAGAGGATAAGCCTTGCTATCTCCCCCCATATAATGTCAAAATGTATTAGTCATGTATTAGCAATATGTCTTGCTAGTTTACCTTCTTTAACCTCAAACTGGCATAACTGTTCATCTGTTTTTTTGATTGGCACAATCATATTGCTATTTACACAATTTCAAAAGCAAATTCTGCCTGAGCGTTAGAAGAAAATAGCATAACCCACATGTCTTTATTGTAGTACATGCATACAATCAATTATGACTTGGCAAGTCAGTTTAACCACTTCCGCACCTCCCTTTAGCAGAAATACTGCTACAGATTGGCACGGGTGCGCAAAATCACGTGTGTATACGTGATTTAGCAGTTCTGGGTAGGGGCATACGTGCACCCTACCTGCATCGCCATTCGCGGCCTCGGCTGCCAATCACCAAGTCCCGGCTGATGATTCCCCGCCAGCACCCGGCGATCTCCGAGGATATCTGATGGGGGAGAGACCTGTATGTAAACAATACAGATGTCTCCCCTGTCAGCTCTTGCATAGCAGAGCCATACAAAGCTGTGTGCTTACAGTGAAAAACACACACAGCCCACATAGTAATACAGCACACAGTTAACCCTTTGATCACCCCACATGTTAACCCCTTCCTGCCCAGTGCTATTAGTACAGTGTCAGCACTTTATTATTAGCACTGATCACTGTATTGGCGTCACTGAGGATGACACCAAGTCAGTTCCCCCCCAGTATCAGAATGCCTGCCGCAGTCCTGCAATAAGTCGCTGATCGCCGCCATTACTAGTAAAAAATAAAAATAGAAAATATACCACCATTTGTAAATGCTATAACTTTCACGTAAACCAATTAATTTACAAGTATTGGGATTTTTTAGCAAAGAAATGTAGCAGAATACATTTTGGCCTAAAATTTTTTTACTGGATATGTTTAATAGCAAAAAGTCTAATAGTTTTTTTTTTCAAAATTGTCGGTCTTTTTTTGTTTATAGTGCAAAAAAGGATGTTATTATTATTATTACTTTTTTTTTTTTTTGTAGGTATCTTATCTGCTTGATGGGGGCTCAATGGAACATGAAGATTTTTGTGGACATGCTGGGAGATTGGACCCAGGAGACTTGCAGGTGACCATAAAATATTTCATACACAAAGAAGAATTTTCTTATCATGATAAAATAAATTAATTAATGTTTGTTTGTTTTTGTTTTTTTTTTAATTAAACTTCCTTTTAATTGCTATTTCCTTTTGTATGCATAGTGGATGACAGCAGGTCGTGGTATTGTCCATGCTGAGATGCCTTGTACACAAGAGCCAGCACATGGCTTGCAACTGTGGGTCAATTTGAGAAGTTCAGAGAAGATGGTTCCTCCTGAATATCAAGAACTGAAAAGTGCTGACATTCCTAAGCCATCTAAAGATGGAGTAACTGTTACTGTCATCTCTGGAGAGTCAATGGGAGTTAAGGTTGGTGTTTGGTAAAGGATAAAAATTATAACTGATAGTTATGCAGGCCATAGACGGGGAGAAAAATGGCCGATTTTTCTTTTAAAAAACGGCCGACGTTACCAGCAATGGTAAAAAAAATCGGCCGATTTTCATCTCGTCTACAGCCGGCAAAAAGTGTCCCTGCAGAGAGCTCTGCCATTTCTTTGACAGTTCCTTGACATTTATAGCGGTTGCAACAATGTATCTATTTGTATCCATTTAGGATACAGATGTTTTTATTCGGAAACAAATAGATACAATGTTGCAACCGCTGTAAATGTCAAGGAACTGTCAAAGAAATAGCGGAGCTCTCTGCTGGGACACTTTTTGCCGTACTGGAATTCCTCCTCCTCCCTCCTCCCTCCTCCTCCTCCTCCTCCTCCCTCCAAATCAGCCGATTTTTTTTCCAACTTTACCGATAAAAAAATCGGCCAAAATACCGAAAAAAAACGGCCGAACAAATAGCCCACTAACGATCCGAAAATCGGCCGATTTTATTTTCGGCCGATTTTCGACCCATCTATGGCCTGCATTACTGTACTGGGAGAAATTCAGACTTCTGTATCTAAATGGTTGTGTGGCCAGCACTATATTGCCAAAAGCATTCGGATACCCCTCCAAATCATTGGATTCAGGTGTTCCAATCACTTCCATGGCCACAGTTGTATGCAATCAAGCACCTAGGAATGCAAACTGCTTCTACAAACGTTTGTAAAAGATTGAGTTGTTATCAGGAGCTCAGTGAATTCAAGCGTGGTACTGTGATAGGCTGCCACCTGTGCAGTTAGTCCATCCGTGAAATTTCCTTGCTACTAAATATTCCACGGTCAACTGTCAATGGTATTATAACAAAGTGGAAGCAACTGGGAACAACAGCAACTCAGCCACAAAGTGGTAGGCCACATAAAATGACAGAGCGGGGTCAGCGCATGCTGAAGCGCACAGTGCGCAGAAGTCGCCTACTGTCTGCAGAGTCAATAGCTAAAGACCTCCAAACTTCATGTGGACTTCAGATTAGCACAACAACAGTACGTAAAGAGCTTCATGGAATAGATTTCCATGGCCGAGCAGCTATATTTAAGCCTTACATCATCAAGTGCAATGTAAAGTGTTGGATGCAGTGGTGTAAAGCATGCCACCACTGGACTCTAAAGCAGTAGAGACATGTTCTCTGGAGTAATGAATCACGCTTCTCTGTCTGGCAGTATGATAGACGTGTCTGGGTTTGGCAATTTGCAGGTGAACCTTACTTGCCTGACTGCATTGTGCCAGATGTAAAGTTTGGTGGAGGGGGGATTATGGTGCGGGGTTGTTTTTCTGGGGTTGGGCTTGGCCCCTTAGTTCCAGTGAAGGAAACTCTTAAGACGTCAGCATACCGAGACAGTTTGGATATATTTCATGCTCCCAACTTTGTGGGAACAGTTTGGGGATGGTCTCTTCCTGTTCCAATATGACTGTGCACTGGTTTGCGGTGGAGGAACTTGACTGGCCTGCACAGAGGTCTGACCTCAACCCAATAGAACACCTTTGAGGTGAATTAGAGCAGAGACTACGAGCCAGGCCTTCTCATCCAACATCAGTGTCTGACCTCACAAATGTGCTTCAAACATTACCATAGACACACTCCTAAACCTTGTGGACAGCCTTCCCAGAAGAGTTGAAGCTGTTATAGCTGCAAAGGGTGGGCCGACTCAATATTGAAACCTATGGACTAAGACTGGGATGCCATTAAAGTTCATGTGTGTGTAAAGGCAGGCGTCCTAATACTTTTGGTAATATAGTGTATAAGAGTTTGTAGTCTTGGGAAGTGCACAAGTGGAACACCTTGTATGAGGGTGTCTCACAGTGGATAAGTGGGTGTACACCAAAGTATGCTCCATCTTCTTCTTTTTTTTTTTTTTTTTTTTTTTTTTTTAAGGCTGAACTCCAGACACTGCTAAACACTTAGTTGAAACATGTATATGTCAGCTGATCTCCTGCCATTCTTATTCATACATTCTTGTAATACATACAGGCAGAACTGCCAAACAGTAAGGACGAGGTCGTACAGCTCCCTACAGACTACACTGTGGTTAATCAATATAGCATGGTCGTGAACAAATATCAACCTGTGATTTCACAATAAAGAAGCATTGATTCAGTCACTGAGAGGCAATTGAAATACCCAGCAATTTTTGATATGGATAAGCAGATGACAAGCCAGTTTTGAGCTTACACAAGGCTTTGTTTCCCTGGTCCTGGCAGTAGTTTCCCTGGTCTGAACAGAGCAGTTCAGGAGATAGGGGAGTATGTGCTGCTAGTTGGGGGAATAAAAATAAAGTTACCTTTTTACTTTGCCCTGCACAGGCATAGGAATGGATCAGGAGAGACAAAACAGAGGGCGCACAGGCCTAGTGCATTACCATAAAAAATAAAGTATGTGTTGTACTCACAAACGACAAAGTCAAGGCACATCATAAAGAACAGCTGGGTCAACACCGCGCTGAGTAACAGTCCGTAATAGGGAGTTTAGACATCCAAAAGGCTGACGCGTTTCGAGGACTTGCCTCTTCCTCAGAATGGATCCATTTAAGCCCTGTTTTCATCATTCAAAACACTGTTAGCCCTTGGAAAATGAGAATCAGAATTGTTTATTCTTGTCACAGAACATGATTTCCTTAGCAGTCATGGTCATGAATAATTACCTGCATGCCCGGTTAAGAATTTTGTGTACACTTTTAAATCAAGAGCATTAAATAGTGACTATCTGCTACATCAGATTATAGACGAGAACAAAAGAAATGCAACTCTTTTGAACTGTGATCACACATGGAACTGAGTGTTGAAGATATGTTTTATTAGTTTTAAGTGGAATATTTGGCTTAGATAGGAAGAAGTTTGATGAAATTGTTAGGGTTCCCTCAGTGGTTTTGTGGTGCAGCAGTCTGTACCACTTTTTATGGGTTAACATTAATACAGCCCCAGAACTCACAATGAAGTAACCCTTTGGTAACAGCAACATACCAAATTTAAAAAAAACAAAAACAAAAAAAAAGAGAATTCAGTCGTGGATGACAACGCTTCAACCCAACCTCTTAGTGTGACCTAGTATGCATTTTAACAACTTTTCACTTGTTTCCCAAAATTACCAAAAACACACAAAATCGTGAGCCATTTGTTTTTTCACCGAAATATATAAGCTCACCATGCGTGCCAAGGGTCCTCGTGTCTGGTGAGTCTTACACTAACACTTCAAAACAAAGAAACTGACGCTGTCATCCTGATTTGTAAAACTGAATAATGGGGCAAAAATAAAACTTGTATAATAAAGTTGGCAAATTGTAAATTCTTAAGCCCATTAATGACTAGTTCTCTGTACGGAAACAGATTCACTTTAAAAATATTATACCTAACGTTCTAGCCTAAGAGCAGGTGCCCCAATATGACCACAAGTATGTACATTATACACTTAATCTGGCTTTCTGCCACTGGGTTTCCCTAAAATTTGTATTTATTTTATTTATTAGAGGTACTTATATGACGCCGTCAATTTTTGCAGTGCTTTACAAATTTAAAGCGCTGCGTAAATTGACGGCGCTAGTACATCTATATACCTCCTATATATTGTACATTCACATCAGTCCCTAGCCCTCATGGAGCGTATAATCTAATGTCCCATACATAAAAGGGCCAATTTAGACAGGAGCCAATTAACCTACCAGCATGTCTTTCGAGTGTGGGAGGAAACCGAAGTACCCGGAGGAAACCCACGCAGGCACAGGGAGAACATGCAAACTGCAGGCATTTGGTCGGGATTCAGACTAACGATCCCAGTACTGCTGCCAGGTGGAAGTGCTAACCATTTAGCCACTGTGCTGCCCGGGTGTACAGTGTATGGAAGCTGTAAATAAGGTTGCTACCCTAATTTTTGGGTAGAATCTGCCATGTCTTTTACCAGTACATCAGAAGTATCAAAATCCACACACATTGGCCTTGCTTTTTAGAAGTTTCTTACTATAAAACCATCAATACAGAATTAGCCAGTAGCAGAACATCGAATGTGTTTCACAACAGAAAGTGTTTAGCCATAACTAAACTTGACTCAAGCTGCTCGAACCAAAAAAACAAAAAAAAAATGACCCAATTCCCATGCATTCAATGTAGATGTGGTAATCCTCTCTGCGATGTCATTGTGTTCTGACAGCGGGGAGGCTAACCTGCAGTCAGAATATCTTCTATTGCTTGTGGAACTGATCAAGCAAGAATATACCCATAGGGGTGTTGAACAGAAGTAATTCGGTAGATCGACTTCTGTACAACCACAGTGGCCACACATGGATTGAAATTCGGACAGTCGATGCTGAACCAGCGAAATTTCAATCCATGTATGCCCAGCTTAACTAGAATATATGGAGTAATGCAGGGTACACACTCTAGCCTGTTGGGCTGATTGGAAAAAACCTTTCAGATCACTGTATTAACACAAGCAATGTTAGTACAGCAATCTCCCCACTATGCTGTTGTGTTCTGACAGGAAGAACGCCCCCCCCCCCGGCAGGATACATTGAGCTGCACTTGCAGCCACTGGCTGTGAGCGCTGATTAGATTCCAGTCGGCTGCTGGTTTTCTAACATGCCCATTCGACAGAAGCTTGACAAGCTGTTGTACACACTGGCTTAATATCGACCAGTTTTTGCTCAGTGTGTACCATCCTTAAGGATTCATTTTGAATATCCAATCATATGAAAAGCAGATTCCTGTATATTTCTTTCATTCGGTATTTGATGTAAACACAACTACAATTTTGTTCAATAAATATTCTCAACTCTTCCAGTAAATCAGCCCCTATGTGTTAAAAATCAGTCTCTGTTGATGTACATTTTATTGGACAACTGTCCACAGTTGCTTACCTGCACTGTCCACATCTGAATATTGGAGGGAGTAGAAACTTTTCAATAAATGTCAAATGGTCATTTGAAACCGCTCTACTGTCTACATTC